TTCTCTGCGCTACCTCCTGTCCTCCCTTGGAATATGCCTGCCACCTCCTGGGTAGCCAGGTTATGACACACCCTCAGAGCCTGGGAGGCGCAAGCTCCAGGCAGGCTGTGACCCGACTCCCAGGCTGCCAGGAAGCGCTCAGAAGCAGAACTTAGGGATGAGGATTTGGAAGGGGGTCCACTTGCTTAGCTGCATCAAATCACGATGAGTATTTGTTTGGGGAAAAGCTACCCACGTCTTACTAAGCTATGAAAGTGGCTGCAGAAGGTCATCAGGGAAACAATATTATCTATGATTGTAAAGCAGGAATATCAGTCATCACAGCTAAGTGTGCTGAGACCTTCATACCGGTGGACATGGTCTCATACCTCTGCATACCCCACTCAGTGACTCTTGACCAAAGCACGCTCAGGTGAACACTACGTGACGTTTCTTTATACAAAAAAAAAGGGTAAATTGAGACTTAATGTAATTGCTAAACAACTTGCCCAACATCACACAGCAAATAAGTGGCAGGGGTAAGCCTAGAACATGGGTCTCTAACTGTCTGGAGTCTGAACTTCCAGCCATTATCTTACACTGTTTCCCTTGGAAGAGCAGGCCACGTGTGCACACAGCACTTGTAGGAGAAATTCTGATGGTTGTACAACAGTCAGCAGTAGTTACCTGGGAGGCTCGGAGGGGAGGTAAGCCGGCTTTCATCTTCTCCTTTATGTAATTCTGTACTGCTTACATTTTTCCAGGTATATTTCATAATAAAATAAAGACTTAAGTAATAATTTTGCTCAACACACAAACACATACAGATCGTAGGGGTTGGGGAAAGGGGCGAAGAAAGCTGGAATTGCTCTAGCATATAGTATCAGTTTCTTGAGCAATTACTGTGTACTACCCTGAGCACCAAGCTTGTCACATGTAAGATTCACTGAATTCTACAACCACGTGTAGAGGGAGGGTATTAGCTCCCTTTGCAGAAGAGGAGCCTGAAGCTCAGAGATGAGGATTCAGCTCTCCAAGGAACAGAACAGTGCAGGAACCCGCCAGGTCTGATTGGTCTGAGAGCCCAGGATCTGGCCTACCTGAGGATGCTAGTTATGCAGTAACGATAGTGCTGATAATTAATAGCAGTTAATTGCTTACCAAGAGCCAGGCCTATGCTTTTAGGCATGATCTCCTCAAATGCCCGCCACAATGCCCATTTTACAGATAAGGAAACTGAGCCTCAGCAGAGAGGAAGTCACTTATTTGCCCAGGACCATCCAGCAGAACTGGGACTAGAATCCAAATCACCACCACCCCCTAGTTGCCCATTTTCTGATGTCTTCCTCTTTCCTTCTCCTCCTCCAGTCTAATCTATTGGTTCCAGTTGGTTCTAGCTACCAATATACACACTTACTTCTCACCATCCAGCTACTCTAGTCCCACTGGAAGGTGCTGCTGTCTCTCAGTCGGGCCACTGTGAAGGATTCCTCATGATCTCCTCATGGCTTCTGTTCTGCCTGTGGTTCCTGTCCCATCCACTCTCTAACCTGCAGTCAACGTGATTTTTTCAGGTTCTCCCTGGTGGCGCAAAGGGTTATGACACAACACAATGAAGCTATCCGCAGCCTCTCAGCCTCTGCAGCACGAGTTCTATTCCCGGCCAGGGAGCTGACCCACATGGCGCAGCAGACCTCTCCTGACTCACCCGCTGCTCCCCTCAGCAGTGTATTTCAGTGGATCTGCCCGTTCTGCTCCCCACTCTATCTCTGGTGAATCCTCTCACCCCCTGCATCTCTGGCCTGCAGCCCAGCTCTTGTATGCATAAATAAACAAATCTTTTCAAATCTCCTGCTAAGTATCCTCTTATGCAGCCTTTCTCAGACACTTGGGAGAGAATTAAGTCCTCCAGAGAATGGTGTAAGTGACAGTTTCCTCCATTTTCCCAGGGATGATACAGTTAATACCCCCCCCCCCTCTCTAATGCAATCAATGACCTAGTTCATTACATGCAATGGCTGCCTTAGAATGTTGGGGCTTAATTCTTCACAAGAACTGGGTGGAGACAGCTGCTGCAGAAGTTTCTTCTTGGGCCTGAATATCAATGACCACAGCCCAGGGGGCCCTTGTGACTTGCTGGCCACCACACCTCCACCTCTGCAGGCTCATTTCTCACCACCTATTTCCCCAGCACAAGCGCGCCTTTTAGTTCCTCACGTACAGAAACCTCATTCTTGCTTCAAGGCTTTTGCAGAGTCTGTTCCTTCTGCCTGGATCCCTTACCCACATACCTTCTAGGGCCAACTCCTTCTGTTAGTCATTCAGGTCTTGGCTCAAATGCTACCAGCTCAGAGAGGCCCTCCCTGGCACCTTAATTAAAAAGACACTGCAATTATCTGTTGTTCCACTGTCCTATTTTATTTCTTGGACGGCACTTATTTATCGTGACCGTGAGTGCCTTTAGACTATGCTCACTACTGTGTGTCTTTCCACTTAGAGCTGAGCACACAGTTCAGTTTCATTTTATTCACAGCCAAATCAATGATGAGCAGAAAGCTTTTCACAGGATGGACTCTGTAAAAGTGTGGTTAGTGGACTTAATGGACATTTAGTATGTGCCAGAGCTCCAGCACTGTCCGACGGAAAGCTAATGTAAGCTATTTTTCATTTTCTAATGGCCGCATTAAAGTAAAACAATAAAATTAGTATTAATATTTTACTTAAGCCAACATAGCCAAAGTAGTGTGTCAATATGTAATTGATTTAAAGAGACAGATGTCACACTTGTTTTATGCTCTCCTTACCCCTCCTTCTGGATCCTGAGGCTCTCAGCACTGCCTGGACTTTTGGGGTCTCACAGGCTCCCACTTCAGGAAGGAGCCTCAAGGTCCCTCAAACAGCACATCAGCTTTCCCGCCTTTTTCTGTAACTCTCTTCAGCGTGCACGTGCCCTTCAAGGTCTGCGTCCAGATAACGCGGGTGGCGGCCCTGCAGCAAGGTCTGAAAACGCCTCCCCTCTCACATCTGGGCCACTGCCGAGGTCTCCGCACTGATGTCCTGGGTAGTTGTTCAACCAAAACAGCTGTGAAGCGGCTCAGGGCACGTGCTCCAGCTCCAGCAGCTGCCGAAGCCGGAAGTTGGTGGGGGAAAGGCTCTCCAGAGGCAGGGAGCATGCGCAAGTCTGCTCCAGCCGGAAGTGCTTGAGGAAAGAAGGGAAGCTCTTCCGGTGCAACTCTCAGGGCTTGGGATGTCCTTCTGACAAGGACCCGGGGGCACCAGATTTTGTAGCTCAATGCTCCGGGGCTTTCTGACCCAGACGGGGGAACTAGAGAAGGAGGGAAAAGGAATTAGCTTTGGGGTTTGTAGCCAGGTGGGATCTGGAAATTGACTTCTCCACCGAGGAGAGTGAGAACTGTTCATTTCGGGGCCTCCGCGGTGGCGCAGCAGTTGAGCGCTGGGTTGCGAAGCTGCCCGCAGCCTCTGCAGCGCCAGTTCGATCCCCGGCTGCTCCCCGGCCACCGGAGGAGGGTCCCACATGGCGCGCAGACCTCTCCTGCCGCCCGCTGCTCCCCTCAGCAGTGTACTTCGGTCCTTCTGCCTGCTCTGCTCCCCGCTCTGGCTCTGGTGAATTCTCTCACCCTCCCGCGCTTCTGACTGTACCCAGTGTTTGTATAAATAAATAAATCTTAAAAAAAAAAGAAGAAGAACTGTTAATTTCGGACCTTAAAGGGAATAGGATTTCTTCTTTGGCAGGGTCTTTGCGAGAAGGACTTCTCTGAGGTCAGGACAGACCTTGGGAGGTGTCTTTGAGCTGATTGAGAAATGAATCAATGGCCAAACAAAAATTTGTTATAAATTTCAGCTCTGGAACTGTTTTCTGATATCTGATATGTCCTCTTTGAAATGGTCTAAGGGCCTCTCTGGAGGTGCAGTGGTTAGAGACAGCGCTGTCAAGCTATGGCCAGCCTCTGCAGCACGAGTTCCATCCCCCGCCGGCTAGGAGCAACCCACATGGCGCAGCAGACCTCTACTGTCTTGCCGCCTGCTCTCCTCAGCAGTATATTTCAGTAGATCTGCACGTTCTGCAACCTACTCTGTCTCACCCCCAGCATCTCTGGTCTGCACCCCAGTTCTTGTATGCATGAGTAAATAAATCTTTATAAAAAATAGACATGGTCTAAAACAGTCAATACTGCATGATGTCATTTATACGTGGAACCTATAAAAGTGGCGCTCATAGAAGCAGAGAGCAGAATGGTGAGTGCCAGGAGCTAGGGAGCAAGGGAAATGGAGAGACGCTGGTTGAAGAGTATAAAGTTTGAGTGATGCAAGCTAAATAAATGCCAAGGATCCAGGGGCTTCCCTGGTCGGCACAAGGGGTTAAAGCACTGCACTATGAAGCAATCTGCAGCCTCAGCAGCATGAGTTCGATTCCCAGCCGACCACGGAGCAACCCACATGGTGAGGCAGACCTCCCCTGTCTGTCTGCTGCTACCCTCAGCAGTGTACTTAGGTCAATATGCCTGTTCTGTTCCCCACTCTGTCTCTGGTGAATCCTCTCACACGCACCCCGGCCCCCAAATCTCTGGTCTGCACCCCAGCTCTTGTGTGTATAAATAAATAAATAAATCTTTTTAAAAAATGCTAGGGATCCAATGTACAGCACAGTGATAGAGTTCAAATTACTGTTATATACACTTGAAATTTGCTAAGAGACTAGATTTTACCACCACCACAACAGATAACTATGTGAAGTGATGGATATGTTGATAAGCTTGTTTGTGGTTCATTGCACAGTGTCTACTTATATTAAATAATCATGTTGTACACCATAAATACATACAATTTGTATTTGTTAATTGTGCCTTACCAAAGCTGTGAAAGTGGTGCAATTTTTACGATGACTTTTAAATTAAAAACCTTGTTCCCCAAATTATGCCTTGTTTTAAAGGTTTACATTAGACAAAAATTATATCCAGGGCAATATTATGCAGATTATTTGATGTATAAGAAATATTGAGATCCTTTTCCAATTCATAAGCATGATGATTGGGTGTTCAAGCGGTTGTGTGAGACGTGCCTCCCTTAAACCTTGTTACAACATCAGCACATTACCCTTCTGACATGGAAAAAAAAAAAGTGGAAGTAATGAGAGAGTCTGGTCGTGGGACACAATTTAAAATTTTTCTTTTAATTTTTGCATAGAAGAGCTGAGGTATAGGCCAGAGGTGCAGGGGGTGAGAGGATTCACCAGAGACAGAGTGGGGATGAGAACAGGTGTATTGATTGAAACACACTGCTGAGGGGAGCAGCGGGCAAGAAGGGAGAAGTCTGCTGCGCCATATGTGAGTTAGTTCCCTGGCCAGGGATGGAAATCAGTAGTGATAACACTGAGACTGCGCTGAGACATAACCCCTGGGCCACCAGGGAGGCCCCCGGGGCACAATTTTTATGTTATACAGTGATTGAGACTTTAATCTCTCAATACACTCAGCTTGCCTCTGGTGCTATCTGAATACTCTCATTTGGGGAGAACTTGAGGGGTCAAAGGCTCATGTTTCTGGCATCTGATCCCATAGGGGAGGGACCCACATGTTCTGTTAGGAATCTGTGTGCAGGACTGTCCTGAGGCTAAGCTGTAAGGGGGAATCCGATTACTGGAGGTCCTGAAGAATCTTTCAGAGGTCACCAATGCTGAGAGAGCTGAACCCTGAGGCTACATTGAAAATGATTGATGAGGGTGCAGGTGTATGGAGTGAGGTTTGTCATGTGGGACAGGGTTTCTGGCTGAGACTGTCAGAGTGATCCTGTAGTGCCTTGAAGAGGAGGCTCTCAGAGGGATGTGTGAAAGGAAGTTAGCAGTCTCTTAAGGAGGCTTGATTGTGCGTGACCAGATGTGGGCTTCTTCATGGACCAGGGGACTGGTCCTTCATTCAATCCACAAGTGTTTGCACACCTACTCTGTGCCAGGAACTGTATACCAGGGATACAGAAGGAATTAGGTATCAGTGGTTGGGTTGTCTGGTTTGGCTGTCATTGGTTTTGTTATCATTGACTTCACTATCATTGGTATCATTGTCATTGGCTTGGCTGTCAATGGTTTCGTTGTCAGTGGTTTGGGTTGTCATTGGTTTGGGGGAGGAGCCCCAAGGAATGTTGTCGTGGGTGCATGGGTTGGGTGTCAGCAAATGCAGTGGGAAGTCTTAATAGGAGGCTGGTCGGCAAGGGTGGAATGTGAGGACTCTTCATCTGCCAAAGTTCTTGAGCTGCCTTGACAGTGTCATTGTTGTGGGGGTAAACCAGGCCTCCAGGAGGGACGGTGCCTGAAGAGCACCATGTCAGCCACAGAGTTCTCCCAGCTGAGTGGCTTTGAAAGGGAGTTGACCTGAAAGTGTCTTTATCATTGTGGATATAAAATATTTTATTAGAAAAACTCCAAACATATATTTAAAAAAAGTGAGAAACCAAACTAACAAATCCTGGTGTACACATTTCCCCAAATGTCAAAATGTCAACATTTGATCTTTTTGCTTCAGTTTCACATTCCAGAAAGAACTGAGGCCCCATAGCTTGCTTGATCCTGCTCGCTTCATTCCCCAAAGGTGACACCATCCTAGAGTTGGTAGCGATCCTCCCTATGCATATTTTTACACATTTACTGCAAATGGTGATACCTACAAACACACGGTACTGTTCTGCCCATCTATTTTTTTTTAAAGATTTATTTATTCATGCACACAAGAACTGGGGCACAGGCCAGATGTGTGGGAGGATGAGAGGATTCACCAGAGACAGAGCAGGGAACAGAACAGGCAGACTGACTGAAATACACTGCTGAGGGGAGCAGCGGGCGAGACAGGAGAGGTCTGCCGCGCCATCTGGGTATCTCCGCAGCAGGCCGGGATCGAACCCACACTGCAGAGGCTGCAGACAGCTTCACAGCGCTGTGCTCAACCGCCTGTGCCACAAGGGAGGCCCTGTTCTGCCCATCTTAAAGCTTTGCATAAATGGTTTCACTCCGTAGGTATCACTTTGCAACTTGGTGTTGTGGCTTAACTTCATGGTTTTCAAATTCAACCTGATCAATCCACGTAGCTCCCCTTTTCACTGCTGGACACTTACTACTTCGTGTTTCATTTCTCCATTCTCTTATTGATGGACAGTTAGGTGGTTTCCTAACTCAATAACTCAAAGCAACTTTGAGTTATTGCAAAACACTGTGACTGTGAAAGTCCTCATAGCTGCTTCTTGGTATAATACGCAAGCATTTCTAGTGTACCCCTTGGATGGCAGTGGCTGAGGGGCCCTTATCCACAACTTTGTACTTCCGTTCTGGTTTTATCATTCAGGAGTCTGATGAGAAACTTCAGTGACAGAAAGCTAGTACTTTGCCTCTTGGATTTTTATTTTCCTTTCCATAAAAGGACTTGATAACAGTACCTAGGTCACAAAGTTGTGAGAATTAACTAAGATTGTGACTGTTAAAGCAGTTCACACAGTATCTTACACACTGAAAGCACTATGAGGTTTAAGGAGACAGGAAATGAAGGTAGGTTAAGCTCTAGGGCTTTGGAGTCTTAAGACTTTGGAGTCGCTTAAGTCTTGGGACTTAAGAGAACCTGGCTTCCTCTTGTCAGTGACCTTGGGAAAGTCATTTCACTTTGGAGAGAGCAAATGAGTGTAAGTGTGAGTATTCCTTCTCACAGAGAGAATCCGCCGGCCCACAATCTACCTGGTTATATAACATCACCATCACCTCTGCCATTTGTTAATAGGAATAAAATTAGGCTAACCTTTATTGAGGGTTTTGTCACTCTTGGGAAGTACTGGCATTATGCCCACTCTCCCAATGATGAAACCCACGCCCCATCAAGAGCAGACATGTGAATGTCACAGCCAGCAAGGTGACAGGAACAGAATTGGAAAAGGTTTTAAAACGTGTCTCCGACCCATCCCTGGCCCTGCACTGCCTTAAATGACATCAGCAGTGGTTCCCGAACTTTTTTTTTTTCAGGAGTGGATGTGTTTCGCCCAGAAAATAATCTTATGGGAAACCCCAGTGTATAAAGCAAATGAAGTGAGAACGACTCCTGTCAAAGTGGAGATAAATGGAGTAGGTGTTCCAGGTTTAATTAATCTTGGCTCTGCCAGCTGCTGGTCGCGTGAGCGCCAACATATTACTTCATCTCTGTGAGATCCAGTTTCTTCACTTGTGAGTTGGGCACAGTCATGCCAAGCTAACAGCTTTGTTACCTGGATCTGCTAATGATAGATGCAAATGCTTGGCATAAAACCTGGCTTGTGATAAGAACCAAATAAGAGTAAACGTTGTTGCAATTTTGGCTGTGGTTGTTATCACCTTCCAGAATCTCTTCACTGACCACAGGATGGGGTGGAAATTTCTCAGCTTTGCTTCCATCAACTGGCCCAACCAGCATTTCCGGCCGCCACCACCTACGTGATAGCAGAGATGAATTCCAGTGTCCCTGTCCCTGCACTCCCAGCTCTGGGCTTTTGCTCTGCTCACTGGGAGAGAGGGGGGGCTGGACACCCCTCTGTCCTCTCCCTTGCTCTGAAGGCATGAAAGCACACTTGAAAAAAAAGATATTCAACATTTTTTTTTCTTATGGAGATTTTCAAAGTAGACAAAAGGGAAAAAGCTAGATAACAAACCTCACTTGGCTTTAGTATTTACTAATCTTATTTCCCAACATCCTCACCCCACTAGATTCTTTTGAAGCAAATGCCAGTTTATTATTTCATCTGTAAATTAACCGTGATGAACTTCTACGGTAAAGACTCTTTTTTTAAACATAACGACAAGCCATTTTTATTTACATCTTCATTTTTTTACATCTTACTACTTTTATCTTAAAAAAAAACTTCAGGATGGGCCTCCCCGGTGGCGCAGCGGTTGAGCGCTGGGTTGAGAAGCTGCCCGCAGCCTCTGCAGCACCGGTTAGATCCCCGGCTGCTCCCCGGCCACTGGAGGAGGGTCCCGCATGGCGCGCAGACCTCTCCTGCCGCCCGCTGCTCCCCTCAGCAGTGTACTTCGGTCCTTCTGCCTGCTCTGCTCCCCGCTCTGGCTCTGGTGAATTCTCTCACCCTCCCGCGCTTCTGACTGTACCCAGTGCTTGTATAAATAAATAAAATAAATAAATAAATACAGTTTAAAAAAAAAAACTTCAGGATAATTTCTTAAACTGTTAATGTTCAAATTTCCTTCATCGTCTCATAGATCTTTTTTGAATGGATTTATTCAAATGAGGATATAGGCCAGATATTTATGTTGCATTTTAGTGATATGCTCCTTAAATTTGTTTTCATTTTTAAGCTCCATCCCACTTGTCTTCTCCCTGCACTGTTTTTGTTAAAAGTCGGTTGTTAGTGTTCTAGAATTTCCTATGGAAATGCCGGGGGTGGGGGGGTTGCTCATTTCTCCCTGCAATATTTTCCTATGTTCTTCTCTACCTTTTTTTCCTGCAAACTGGTAGTTAGACCTAAATTCTAAGGAATTAATCACATTTGGGTTGATTCTGATGAGGATACTTGATAGGTGTCTTTTTTTTTAATATTTTATTTTATATAATTCTTACATCATTTTTCATTTTTGCACAATGTATGCATTTTCGTTTTGGTTATATTCCCCATACACTTGCACACCCCCCCCCTTATTTTGACCCTAATCCTTCCTCTCCCCACCCTGCCCCCCCACCCCATAGTGTGTCTCTGGTTTATACTTGCTTGTTGATTTTGATTTTTTCTTTACTATAGTTAGTCGTTTTGCTGGTCCCTTATTTAGGTTTTCTAAATTCCCGCTATGAGTGAGACCATCCGGTATTTTTCTTTTTCTTTCTGGCTTATTTTGGTGAGCATGATCCCTTCCAGCTCCATCCATGTTGCTGCAAATTGCATGAGTTTATCTTTTTTTGATTGCTGAGTAATATTCCATGGTGTCTATGTACCACATCTTCTTGATCCAGTCATCTATTTTTGGGCATTGGGGTTGTTTCCATAGCTTAGCTATCATAAATAGTGCTGCTATAAACATTGGGGTGCAATAGGTGTCCTTCCTTATCTTTCTTCCAGCGCTAGGTGGATCCACAGTTCACAGATGCTCAGCCT